AGGGGGCCAGTTCACTGTCCCTCAGACCGTTGGAGGGCTGGACTATAGTTTAAAAAAAAAACTATGAACAAATTCCTATGCACACTGCACATATCTTATTTTGAAGTAAAAAAACAAAAACGGGAGCAAGTGCAATATTTGTATTTGCATGTGGCCTGCAGGCCGTAGTTTGAGGACCCCTGTTAGACATTCCTCTCAAAAATCCGTTGATCTTAGATGTATAGATTTGTTTCTCACAAGTCTATTTCATTGATTTATATGCCTATGCTTGTGCCTGGAGTAAGTTTTGAAATCAGAAAGTGTGAGTCCTCCAACTTTATTTTTTAATTTTTCAAGATCACTTTGGCCATTCAGTATCACAGAGTTGTGCAGAGTTGTGGTCCTTGTTCGATCCTAAGGAAGACATAGGGGGTTTGGATAAGGTCCTTGTAAGAATAATTAAAATGATCCTGGGTTGTGATAGGGTATTCCGATAGTTTGGCCTGTCTGATGGAAGAATGAAGGCTGAGAGGGACTTTCTGATCAACTTGTAAAAAATGAAGAGTAAGGGCAGCACAGGCTGATTTGGGCACCAGGTGTATTGGATACGCTACAAGTGGGAGGTTGCCTGGTGAAGTTTGAAGTGGCAAGTTGAGTGTGCAGTGCTCCACACCAGAACTAATTTGATGAAACTTACCTCCAAGAAGCACTTCACATAAGCTACAGATCATAAATACTATAGCTTTAAAACATGTCAGAACATTCACACACCTGTATCTCCCAGGACAGGCATGCACGCTCTGCGGTGTGCCTCTGACCTTTTGAGGTTTGTGCCACCCCTGTGCTCTCCTACACCTCGTCGCCTGGTGATCTGGTCTCAGGCCTAACACTGGGCGAGTGGCAGGAGCCCAGCCCTGTATGGTGGCTCTTAGGAACTGCCAGTGAGCCACAGCCTCACCAGTGTCTTCCCAGTGTCTGCCCGTGGGCAATAGAGGGGACCGAACCCGTGTCCGGCCCGTGGTGAGGCTGTCTCGCCGGGACCTGGCTGTATTAGTGCCTCCACAGCGTGCGGCTGGGCCGAATCTGCCCGAGCTGGGACTTGTCAGCCTTCATCAGCCTTCCTCAAAACACAGCCTCTCTCCTGAGTCAAATTTGCATTTATTTCCTACCACAAACCACCTTCTAACCATATTTTGGAACCATGTTCAAATCCTGCCAAAGCGGTTTTGCCTTTTTAGTTCAGGTTTGACTAGCTTGTTAATAACCAAATTCTGTGCTAGTGGGAATTTTGTTCCGACCACTTTTTAACCTGTTTGTGTGTAGAATGATTTTGTTACTCCTCTGTGATTGGTTTTCCTAATTGTGTTATTTCAACTACGTAACTGTTAGGTATGTGTTGTTTATATTCGTATGTGTAGACTGATTTAACTTGATGAGTCAATATGAAACATTATAAAGGCTGTTATCATTAATCCAGATTTAGCTTTTCAAAGACATTAAAATTAGATTTGTGACTTATAGCAAATTTATAGTAAATTCAGATGTTTGTGTAATTTTATCACTTACTTTGTTTTAGTGAAAAATGAATATTTACAGAAGACTAGCCATAATGTCTGTCTTTAAAGTTCAGGATAAGGTATATAAAATTTAAAGCAGAACTTCCCAGTGTTGGATCAGTGAGGCAAACAATGTGGAATTTAGAAATAAACTGGATTCAAATTTCAGCTGGAGGATTTTAGAGGTCATCTAGTTCAGTCTCTTCTTTCTGGTTAATCATGAGGAAAATGAGGGTCAGAGAGGTTACATGATTTGCCCAATGCCACGCGACTCAGTTACTGGCAGAGCCGAGGCTCAAACAGCAGTTCTTGCTGTGGTCTTGCTTTAACTTGCCACTCCCTAATGAATGGGTAAAGAGACAAATGTTAAGTGTGTTTGAGTTTTACATTGAGAGTTAGGATTAATTTATTGAGCATCTACTTGTTAAGCACTTTTTAATTTCATTTCATTCTTACCTAGTCCTGTGACATCATTATTAACAGTTCCACTTTACAGATTAGGAAACCAGGGTGCATGAAGGTTCCCAACTTGCTCAAGGTCATGTGATTAATATTAGAGCTGGTATTTGAGCCAGGTCTTTCTGACCTGTTTCCTGCTGTGATACCCTGCGTGGCTCCAGTGATAGTAACTGAAACCTTTTCAGGGGTGTGGGCAGTAGTGATGTTTATGTTAAAAATAGATCTTTCTCAGACTTGTCACTCATTGTAAAACATATAGACGTACACAGATAGGTGCAGAGAGAGTCTTTCTCAGAGCACCCACAGCACTTAAGGGATGTTTGGCTAATCTTTATACCATTTCTGTAAGATAAATGGTCTTTTTTGGTGAGGCAGCCAAGGCCCAGATAGATTCAGGGACTTGCTCAATTCCTTATCACAAACCTACAAGGCCCTCCTCCCAGTTCCGGTCTTCGTCCAGTCTAGCATAGATTTCACCACTTTTGTTCTTTCCTGTCTTACACCAAGATTGTTTAAGTACTTCCCAAAAATAATGAGCCACGTGTGGGTGTGTTCGTTCTCCAGGATGAATCACTGTGAAAGGGGCCGTGAACCAATGAAAGGAGGCTAAGTATCTGGAATCAGAGACTCCTGGCTCCCAATTGACGACTCTGAAGTGAGCTTTTTTCAAAAGGCGGCTGCGGGTCTGGCCTGTGTGTCCCACGGTGCTCAGAATAGCCCTCTTGGAGTTGTTCGCTTTCCCTTCTCGCTTCCCAAAATAGACCCAATGCTGTTCTGTTTGCTGCATGGCCTGGTGCATGTATTGAGAGGTGTTCACTCCAAGGGGAACCCCTTTTGTGCTTGAATGTCCCCCTGACACAAAGGAGTGGGTATTGGCTTCCCCAAAGTAACAGGACTGCAGCTTGAGTAAAAGCTTTGGATTGAGTGTTCGGAAGGGCACAGAAGTAAATTTGTTTACAAGGTGAATAAAAGGGAGCAAATAAAGGCATTTGGTAAGAAAAATGGAGAAGGTTCTTTTAGTCTTTGTGTCTGAAAGGATTGGGATTGAAGTTTAGGAGGCATTTACTTTTACAATTCCTTCTAGATTTGGAATGTAGCCTAAAGAGTACCTGCTTTAAACTTCCTGCCTTTAAAAATGTAACACTACCCAAACCCTTCAGCAGGTAGCTACATGTTTTGGAATTTCTCCCTGAAGAAAGGGATCTGATCAAACGCTGTGAAAAAAATAACCACAGGCCCTAGTGCTGTTTACCTGTCAGTGCGCTCTCTCCTTTGTTTCCTTGGCTGGGGGTGGCAGGGATGTGTCCTTTACGGAAGCCTGAGAAAGGAGGGGTGTGACATTGAGATATTTAGAATCTGCCTTTGGATTTGAAAGCCAAGAGGTGCCTCCCATTGTATGGGAGAAAGAGACAAAGATAAACTATTTACAGCCTAAAGGGGTGAGTTACAACAGACTGGGTTTTCATGGGACTGGTCATGTATGTCTCTTCTCTGGGGGCCCTAGTTTGAATACCTTCCCACTCGGTATCCAGATAGTATCCACTTAGTGTCTAGTCTGGGACCTGGGTGGGCCCTACCACCTCCATCCCCTGTGAGTCCCAACCTAAGCATTGTAGTGGCTAAAGCCACACTCCTGCCCCTCCCAAAGGTCAGGGCTCGGTTAGGCTCAGGGGAGACAGTGCTGGGCAGAACCAACTGCTGCTGTCTGTGCTATTCCTGTTAGACAGATAAATCAAGGATTTCAGACTCCAGGGCTGCTGAACTAGCTTTCAGAGGCACAAATTCACTTACAGTAATTTCCTGCCAATAGTCTACACTTATGTATACTACACACCCAGCAAAACTCACTAGGCCCAGAGATGATTACATACACTACCAATTTGAGAAAAAAAAAATATATAGATATAGATATAGATATCATATATAGACATATATTACTCCTTAAAGTGATATCCAGGGACCTTTCAGAATGGGTTAAACACATTGAGTCCTTTTTATGCATTAGCTCATTTAATCCTCACAGTAACTTTATGAGGTAGCCACTGATATTATCTTCTTTGGAGGGTATTGTTTTTGCCTCATGAGAGAGGTATTTGCCATGGACTAAAGGAGTAGTTGGCAAACTGCAGCTCGTGAGCCACATGTGGCTCTTTGGCCCCTTGAGTGTGGCTCTTCCACAAAATACCACGTGCGGGCGCACAGGTACAGTGCGATTGAAACTTCGTGGCCCATGCGCAGAAGTCGGTATTTTGTGGAAGAGCCACACTCAAGGGGCCAAAGAGCCACATGTGGCTCACGAGCCGCAGTTTGCCGACCACTGGACTAAAGGAAGAGGATGTTGGACAGTCAGGGGAAGCTTTTCTTTTTTTTTAAATCCTCACCTGAGGATATGTTTATTGATTCGAGAGAGAGAGAGAAACATCAGTGTGAGAAACAATCTATCAGTTGCCTTCCGCAGCACCCTGACCGGGGTCGAACCCACAGCCTTTTGGTGCACAGGACAACGCTCCAACCAGCTGAGCCACTCAGCCGGGATGGCGGGGGAAACTTTTCAAAGGAAGTGATGTTTAAGCTGAATTTTAAAGGATTTGTAAGAATTCGCCAGGAAAAAGAGCACTGCAGCAAAAGAATATATGGGAGTATGCATACTGACTGCATTCAGGAGACTAGGCATCTAAATTTAAAGAAAAACGTCTTTCCCAGTCACAAAATTACTTGTATTAAGTCTAAGGCAAAGTTCAAAAGGTAGTTTCTCTGTGTCTCAGAGGCATAAAATAGAGCACTTAGAGGAAAATGGTGGGGCCTAGAAGGTCTTGTTTGTGAGCTGAATAAACGGGTGAAAAGGTTGTGTCTCCATTGACAGTATCATCTTTCTGACCTGATCTCTATAAAAGCTCCTTATTTTGGAACATTAAGGATGCTAAGGAATGATATTCTAAGTTTGTGAAAGGACCTGGGATAAGATCTAATCTTTGATGTCAGTGTCTACTCCCAAATTTCCTGCAGCTCTGCTGTGTACATGCACCAGCTGCCTACAGGCCAACTACACATGTGAAACAGATGGGGCCTGCATGGTTTCCATTTTCAACCTGGATGGGATGGAGCACCATGTGCGTACCTGCATCCCCAAAGTGGAGCTGGTCCCTGCTGGGAAGCCCTTCTATTGCCTGAGCTCCGAGGACCTGCGTAACACCCACTGCTGCTATACTGACTTCTGCAACAAGATCGACCTGAGGGTGCCCAGTGGTGAGTGGACACCCTTGTTGGATTATTGGCTCATCTTGGAGGTGGGGCACCCCTGTCATTTCATTCTTCTCTACGCTTCCCAATCCCTTTATTTGATGATAGGTAAACTTTTTGAAGTTCCCTAAGGCAGTAGTAGGCAAACTCATTAGTCAACAGAGCCAAATATCAACAGTACAACGATTGAAATTTCTTTTGAGAGCCAAATTTTTTAAACTTAAACTATATAGGTAGGTACATTGTTATTAACTTAAGTAGGGTACTCCTAAGGCTTAGGAAGAGCCACACTCAAGGGGCCAAAGAGCCGCATGTGGCTCGCAAGCTGCAGATTGCCGACCACGGCCCTAAGGTGACAAGGGATGGGATTGCTCCCACATCAGGTTTGTAGATAAGAGGATGAGGGAGGCAGATTGTTGTCAAGATGGTCCCAGAGGTGAAAGGTGCATTTTGGATGGTGGCCAAGTGGCATAGGCGGCTGTTGAGGAGTGGGAGAACCAGGCAAGGAGGGGGGTGGGAGTGGGTGGGTATGGGACTGATTCTGAAGGAGGCAACCCCAGAGCCTCAGGAAGGGAGCTTTTGGGGTGGGGTGAAGGCAATACTGGAAAGAGGGGCTACAATTAGGCAAAAAGGGCAGTGATCAAGGCTGGGAAGTGTTAGACCTCACCCCTCTACAGGCAGTGATGCCATTTAGAAGGCATCACTGAGGAGAGAGAGGAGCAGGAGAGAGACTGGAGCAGAGCTTGAAAGAGTTACAAGTTGAAGAGTAGATCCTGGCATCTGTCTGGGCCACTGAGATGGGAAAAGTACCATGAACTTACGAAGTGGGTTATGGATTTGACTGATGCAAAGGGCACTAAAGAGGTTTGCATGTGAGAGCAGACAAACTAGCCCCATAAGACTAGAGGTCAGGCACACCTTGAGCATGTGGAGAGGGAACGGGCATTTCACTTAGAGGGAGGTGTTGGGGATGAATAGGGCCAGTGCATTCCCTTGTTTTGACTCTTTGTTCTTTCCCTCTCCTTTCTCACTTGACCCAGGTCACCTCAAGGAGCCTGAGCACCCTTCCATGTGGGGCCCTGTGGAGCTGGTCGGCATCATTGCCGGCCCAGTGTTCCTCCTGTTTCTCATCATCATCATTGTTTTCCTTGTCATTAACTATCACCAGCGTGTCTATCACAACCGCCAGAGGCTGGACATGGAAGATCCCTCATGTGAGATGTGCCTCTCCAAAGACAAGACGCTCCAAGATCTTGTCTACGATCTCTCCACATCAGGGTCTGGCTCAGGTACTGAGTTCTTCTGGCCTTGTGTCTGTCGGCCTTCATCACTGCTTCCCAGCAGGATAGATGGAGCATTTCTGAGATAGGCTGGACCTTACACTTGTTTCTAGCAGCAGTGAGTTTTGGTGTCATACTTCCCCTTCTTGTGGAGTCTGACATGTAATAAGATAAGGGGAGGGGGGTCACAGAAAATCTTTCATTCCCTGGGATTCCAAAGGTCAAGTGCAAACCTTTCTCGTCCAGAAACTCTTGCTCTCTCGTCCAGAAACTCTTGCTCTCTCCAAGTTCTGTAACCAACATCTATTAAAATTCATCTGGTTCCACCTGAGCGGTGGAGTGCTCAATTTAAGGGCCCCTTTTGAGAAACAGGAGTGTGCCGCGTTCCTGTGAGGTGGTGACAGCTAATCATTGATCCCTGAGCAACCACAAGGGGAGTTTAAGGACATTGAGTGAAGCTGAAAGCTGGGTTTGGTGAATCATTGACTTGTTCCAGTTGCCCAGGGGTTTTTTCATGTGGTTAAATAAAGGCAGCTTGGGCTTCCAGCACGGCAACAGCCCCATTTCTTGTCCTGCCTGTTGGTCACCGAGTCTTCCTTAGATGAGGGGATTGAACCAAACACTGGGCCTTGTCGTGAGACCAGGATTGGCAAAAGGGGATTGGATTGTTCGGGTCTCAGGGTATATAGCTCAGCTAGCTATCAGGTATGAGTGTGACTGCAAAATAGTCTTTTCATGAAGATAAACAATTATTTTAGTGATGGTGGTATTCTGTTCTTGTAAAAAAATCATCCACAAAAATCATTATTGTTGCCAATGTAGCGAAAACATACAGAATCATATTTGTGAGAATTTTGTGTTTACGTATTTTTTTATATATTTTATTGATTTTTTACAGAGAGGAAGGGAGGAGGGATAGAGAGTTAGAAACATCGATGAGAGAGAAACATCGATCAGCTGCCTCCTACACACTCCCCACTGGGGATGTGCCTGCAACCAAGGTACATGCCCTTGATCAGAATCGAACCCGGGACCCTTCAGTCCGCAGGCCAACGCTCTATCCACTGAGCCAAACCGGTTAGGGCATGTTTATGTATTTTTTTTTTTGCCATGTGACAAGACTGTTCTGTAGGGAAATTATACCATCAGTCATAGCCAGACATTTCTCCTTGAACACAAGGAATACTTTGACATCTCTTGAATTTTAGTGGTTTTGCCTTTATTAAGCTCTGCAGTAGAGTGTGCCAAAATGATGGATGTATTAAAAGCTGTATACATTTAGGAAGAGAGAAAAATAGATGGCCTGTTCTTTGATGAAGGAGGAAGGGCAGTGGTTAGACCTTCCTGACTGCCTGTGGCTTGATTTGCTGTCAGAGGAGGGTAGCTTGGTTTCCAGAGTCCAGCTGAGGCTCTGGAAGGTGCGTGGTGGTTAGTCAGCTGGGATGAAGGGATTAATAACCATTTCTCTCTGGATGGTTTAGTCCAGTGGTCGGCAAACTCATTAGTCAACAGAGCCAAATATCAACAGTACAACGATTGAAATTTCTTTTGAGAGCCAAATTTTTTAAACTTAAACTATATAGGTAGGTACATTGTTATTAACTTAAGTAGGATACTCCTAAGGCTTAGGAAGAGCCACACTCAAGGGGCCAAAGAGCCAAATGTGGCTCGCGAGGTGCAGTTTGCTGACCACTGGTTTAGTCCATTCTTAATTCAGAATATGCAGAGCTTCCAAGGTGTTGGAGTTCTAATTCTGTGGATTTAAAGTGAATAAGTCCTTGCTGCTTACGTGACTTTCAATTCACATGAGCAAATATATATAGAACACCCTCTGGATGACACAGGATGAACAGAGATGAGAAGGAAGCTGATCCAAAGTTGGATAGAAGGGATGGAGATTGTTGGGAAAGGTCCTGCAGAGGAGGGTGCACTCAGAGGGGTCTTGAACACTGAATTTGAAGTTTTAAGAGAAATGAGAGGACAAGGAACATTCCAGGCCAAAGAAAATCTCTTGAGCAAAAGGACAAAAAGGCATGAAAGTTCACCGAGTGTTTAGAGAACGACAGAGTCCGGCGTGGCGTGGCCACGCTGGGGGTGGAAGGGGCAGGCTGTCCAGGAGGAAAGGACCTTGAGCGCTGTGCTTTTTCTGGCAAGATAAGAGGCATCTACAAAACTTTTCCTGTGGACGGAGTTCTGGCGGTGGTGTGGAGGATGAATTCATTCATTTGCCAACCTCCTGTTAGAGAGGGCAGGGTGAGGTAGGGCTGTCTGTGTGTGGGTTGCGGGGCAGGAGCAGGGTGAGATGGGCGGCAGAAAGACCAGTTGAAAATGTTTTAAAGAAGGGCCTGAACTAGGACTGGCACAGAGAAGATGGGGAGTAGGGGTCTAAGTTGAGAAACTTTTTGCTGGCTCTATACTGCATATAGTTAAAAGCATGAACTTTAGAGTCAGCCAGTCCTAGATTTTAATTCCTGTATTGCCACTTATTGTTTGTATGCATTTGAATGAGTTACTTAACCTTCTCCCTTTGGGCCTCAGTTTTCTCATCTGTAAAATAGGGATAATAAAAATACCCACCTTATAGATGTTTGTGAGGAAATGAGATAATTTATGTAAAGCCCTTAGCATAGTGCCTAAAGCATACAGTAAGTGGTCATTTACATCCACAAGAGTTAGGGATTAATAACATTTTTTTATTTGGTCAGGGAGAGGAAGTGAGAGAGTTAAGAGTCATGATGGTAGGGGTGGATTGGTAAGATAGGGAGACATTGAATGAGTCAAATGAGGCAATAAATGAGTTCTAGAAAGACAATAAAATTAATCTTAGAATAAGCATGGGTAGTCTCCCATTCTGCGTCTGGAGCTCCACCTGTGAGCAGACCTTTGCTCTCTAGATCCTTATATGCCCTGACCACAATTTGGGTTTCATGGGACACGCAGCACTGCCCTCTAGTGGCGAATGAGCAGAGAGCCAGAAGGTGCTCCCAGTGCTCAAGTCCTCATTTCATCTTTTCTTCCCTCTTTCCTCTTCATCAGCAGAAGGCAGATGTGGATGGATTGGCCCACAGGTGGCTGGTTACAGAGTTGATAAATCTGGTCAGATGTTTATATTAAAATCTGTCATCCACGCTAACGGAGAGGATAAATTGCTTAGATCAGGAACAGCTAATCCTTTGCATTTCCCTTTCTGTATTCACTCTCAGGCGCTGCCTGGCTTAGTCTTCTGGTGGACTACCTGGACATGGTACAGGGGCAGCCACAGCTCTGCATGGCCGGTGCAGCAGTGCAGCATGGGGCACGGTGATCAGACTGTTCAGTGTGGCAGTGAAAGCGGGAGTTACAAAGTTTAGCAAAATTACAGTGTCAGCTTTCTTTCCATCCTTTGGTCCATAGGGTTACCACTTTTTGTCCAGCGCACAGTGGCCCGAACCATCGTCTTACAGGAGATTATTGGCAAGGGCCGGTTTGGAGAAGTGTGGCGCGGCCGCTGGAGGGGTGGTGATGTGGCTGTGAAAATTTTCTCTTCTCGTGAGGAACGGTCTTGGTTCCGGGAAGCAGAGATATACCAGACAGTCATGCTGCGCCACGAAAACATCCTCGGATTTATTGCTGCTGACAATAAAGGTAAAGGGCTGGGCGTGGAGACGGCGTGTCCTAAAGCCAACCATGGTCCCAGACGGCGGGGTGACTGGGGCAACACAGCTCTGTTTGCCTTCATAGTTATTGCCCATAGAGAATCTAAATAAGGTAATGATTTTCAAACTTTCCTTCTACAAAAAGCTTATGTGGAAACCCAGGTTACTTAGCAAGTAAATAAGCAGTTATTAAGCAGGTGAACAGGATAAAGCTCTTGCCCCTCCTGCTCACTCCCCTTCCAAGACACTCTCAACACCCCCCCCTGCCCCCAGGGTAGTCCCTGAGGGGCCCCACTGGAGGGAAGAACTGTGTGTGGCCTCAGCTCCGGCCCAGAAAAGCATGTCGCCCACGTTCTGTGGCAGGCACCCCAGCAGCAGGCTCAGTTTGGCAGTGGAGCAGGTGCAGCAAAGCAGTGACCTGCCTGCCGCCAGAGTGCCACCTCGTGGCTCTCATACTCAGCGTTGGGTCCGCTTATACCCGAGGTCCCTTGTTTCCTCCTCCTCCTCCTCCTCGCTCCTGTTCTTGCTTTTGTTTTTGAGTCTTTCTTGTGCGGCCAGGCACGTTGTCATTTTTGAGGGCCTCATTCACTACAAAGGGATAAAGTAATGGTGAATTACAGGGTGTGATCAGGTAACATGCTGTTCTGGTGAGCTGCGGGTCAGGAGGGCACACCTGAGCTTGGCTGAGGTGGGGGTAGCAGGAGCTGGTCAGAAAGCAAAACCAGTGGAAGGTTCACTCTAGACAGGTGAGCAGAGGTGAAGTGTGTTTGGGAACCTGCAGTAACTTGGTGGCTGTGTTACAGCAGAAGACGGCGGTGAGTCCCGGAGGCCAGATTGTGAGGCCTTTTTGAGAGGAGTATATTTTTTTATGAAGTAATGGGTGGTCACTGAAATTTCATTCATTAGTTCAGTAACATCATCTATTGACAACTATAGGCAGGACCTCTGCCCATAGAACAAGACACAGTCCCTGCCCTCACAGGCCCCAGGAAGAGGGGACAGCAGACACACGTGGAGGTAGTCCACTTGGAGTCAGAGACCATGAGGTGATGGGCTTTGCCGTTTTGGAATCGCCTGGCAGTTGTGACCCAGTTTGCTCCCAGGGCACAGCGATTTTTAGAAGTTAGTGTCTACAGAGCCTACGGAAGATGCTAAGTATTTATGTTTCCTTCCTAAAACAGCAGCAGGCTGCGCATTCCTCACATTGCTGTGGGGGTTGGTAGTGATCTCGCCCCCCCCCCCCCCCCCGCCAGCTGAAACATCTTGGTCTCATACACAAGGGAAGAAGCGGAAGAGAATTTTTTACTCCTTCTGAACAAAACAACATCACCTTGGAATAAAACTTAAATCTTACATCTGTTTTAAAGGATCAAAAGATGTCCTCCCTTTTGACGTAGTGGCAGGGTCCTCAAGACTTGGGGGCTGGTTGGAGTGTAAGAGGGGTGTGTTGAGTGGACCCCTGTTCAGAGAAGCCAAGACTAGTGTTGTTCAGAAGCCACTCCCTTGATTGATCTGGCAGCTGTGTGAGTCGGTCTGGCTGTCGAGCCCACATTGGGACCAGGGGAGGGGGAAATGGGACTCCTCTGACTTGCCTTCTTAACACGATATGTAGTACAGTGTCGTGTCCTGGAACCAGCACCGGCCTGGAATTTAGAAGATCTCAATCCAGTTTCCAATTTTCCTATTGACTGCAGCATAACCCAATTAGATTGACAGCTTTTGGTTTTACTTTTTCTCCCTCTCTTCCTCCCCTCCTCCTTCCCACTGCACACACGCCACACCCACAATGTATAAGAGTGTGTGCTGTCCACCTTCCATTGCTCTTCTGAGGGCGAGACGGCCTCTCCGGAATCCTTGGATGTGTGCTCGTCGTGCCCTGAAAAGTGTTTTTTGGTCTGGGATGCAGTAATGCACAAAGGAGCTCTTTCCTGCTCAGAGCTCATAACCTGGAAAGAGCAGTGGATTTAGGAAAGAAATGCTACAAATGAGACAGGTGCTGGGCTGGGCTGTGCTCAAAGCGTCTTAGAGAATGGGGTGGGGGAAGGTAGAGGAAGATATAGGGGGGATAGATGGTGATTTAAGGAGACTGGAGCACAATACAATATACAGATGATGTATTATAGAATTGTAACCTGAAACCCATGCTACCACGATAAATTCCATTGTTGAAAAAGGGTCTCGCTGCAGAGAGGGCCTGCGGAGCCTCCGCCGCGGGTGTGGGCGCAGCCAGTGGTGGTTGCTAGGTAGAGAAGCGGTCGCCTCAGGATCGGGAGCAGTGTTACTCTGAGCGTACGCTTCCTCTTCTGGAGGCCTCTCACTTCAGAGTTGGGGTTACAGTGGGATGCTGTCCAGACCCTACAGCCACCTGCGAGAAATAAGGGGGCGGGTCTAAGAACGAAATGCTGTTCTGTCCTCCCTGGAGCCTGAAACACCTGCAGGTGAAACGGGCGCAGAGGAGGCCTCCGGAGGTGTGGCGGCGAGAGGTGGGAGTTCAGGAGCAACTGGAGTCCATGGGGTGCACATCTTCCTTCCTGCTTTAACCTCTGTGGTTGTGCCTTTTCTGGAACTCTTCTGTGGTTCTCTGCAGATAATGGCACCTGGACACAGCTGTGGCTCGTCTCGGACTACCATGAGCATGGCTCCCTGTTCGATTATCTTAACCGGTACACAGTGACGATCGAGGGGATGATTAAGCTGGCCTTGTCTGCTGCCAGTGGGCTGGCACACCTGCACATGGAGATCGTGGGCACCCAAGGTGAGTGGACCCAGCCGAGGGGCAGCGATGCTGGGTTGCCTTTAAAAGCTTGTACCATCCTGATTTGGTTCCCAGACACCTTCTTCCTGAGCACGTTGGAGCTGGACCTCAGGAACTGTCGTCTAATCTGAAGGAGGGAGGTTTGGACTTGACTTGAGTGAGAACAAGAGGGTCTCCGGGGTTCTCCCACCGCCTCCAGCACCCCGCGGGGCTCTCGTGGGAAAGTGCGGGACTGGAGCTGGCGTTCACGGAGCAGGCATCTCAGAAGTCCACAGTGCACAGGAGCTGAGACGATGCAGGAGGCTCTTGTGCAGCAGCATCGGTTTAGTGATTGCACACGTTCATTGCGGGCAGCTGGCTGAAAGACTGCTTGTGGATTACGCCCTGGGCTTCCTTAGTCTAGGAAGGTTTTTCTGGAGGCAGAAGGCCTTGACCAGCCCTGGTTATTGACTGTACTGTCAGCTCTTTAGGAAATCCTGGATCTTGTTTGTCACAGTGGCAGGGTTCCCTGATGCCTGGTTGACCAGGGCAACAGCACTTGCTGCCATGACAGAAAACCAGCCATTAAAAGTTTGGTCCTGTTTCTAGCGTCTGTCGGGTATCAGCAGTCTTTATTAACCCCGAGAGTGCCGGGGAGCACAATTGTGCTCCTCCTGTCTTTCGCCAAAGGTGCTGGGAGCACCTTCGCGCTCCTCCTGCAGTGTCACTATTAGATGCTAGTAGTTCACTCTGTATTGACAGATGGCTTTGCTGTAAAATCAGCAAAAATGCCTGGGCAATTTTAGCATAGTTCCTAGGATATTGGTTGGCACTCAAAGGGTCAATTGTTGGTGATTTTGTTTGATTCTAACAGCTAGCCAACACAGCAGTTTTTCTTTGAATTCCTCAGCACTTCAGTACTTGAGTGTAATAGTTCAGGGAAGGCGAGTAGTAGTAGTAGTCATGGTAATATCATCTAATACACATGCCCTTCTGAGCTCATCACTTACCTACATTAATGCATTTACTCCTCACAACATCTCTGTGAAGTCAGTACTGGTGTTAGTCTGTATAGTTGGGTTAGGTCGCTTTTCCAGGGTTACTGGGCTAGTGGGAGGCAAAGCCAGGACTCAAACTCATGGGACTTCCTAACATTCAGTCCGGCTGTAGACTTGCTTGTAACATTTTTACGATCTTTCTTTAAAGGTCCCTGTTTTTTTTCTCTGCCAGGGAAGCCTGGAATTGCTCATCGAGACTTAAAGTCAAAGAACATCCTAGTGAAGAAAAATGGCATGTGCGCCATTGCAGACCTGGGCCTGGCCGTCCGTCATGATGCAGTCACAGACACCATTGACATTGCCCCAAATCAGAGGGTGGGAACCAAACGGTAGGAAGGCCCTCTGCCTGTCCTGAGTGGTCCATGTGTGCCTTCCTCATTGTGCAGGAAGAAGTAAGAGAAGGTCTGCTTATCAGTTGAATCTCAGTGAATTTCACTAAGTTGTTTTACTGCTTTTCCCTCCGCTTTGACATGAATGAATGAATGACCCTGGGCCCAAATTGTGAGGCCTGAGGTGATCCGCTAATTTGCCTTACTGTGTGTGTGTGTGTGTGTGTGTGTGTGTATAGTAGTATTAATTAGCTGAAAGGGACTTTGATGACTATCTAGAATAATTTTCACATTATCTGCAACCAGGTAAGATAAAGAAGTACAGAATGAAATTTAAGCTCAACCCGTCACTGTGGCTACATCTAACAAAGTCCAAGACCCCAGTAGCAACTAGATATTACATATTGTTAGTGCCCTGTGACCCACAGTACAAATACCTCTGCCAAGAAATCAAAACATGCTAAAAATAAATCTTGATGTTAAAAAGTAGAGGTACAAATAAGAGTAGCCTATGCTACTTCCTAAAGTTATGCTGAAGAATTTAGATTCGAATCCAAAATATGGGAGTTTGCAATAAAAACATTGATCAGTTCCTCGTCCCCAAGGGACTTTTGGGGGGTAATACTCACCCACATTCTGAGGGTCTCCAAGTCAGTACCTTGATTTAAGGAGAGAAGTCATCTTTTCCTCTGCATGATCATGTTTCCTTTGCTGTTGCAGATACATGGCCCCTGAAGTGCTTGATGAAACCATTAACATGAAGCACTTTGACTCCTTTAAATGTGCTGATATCTATGCCCTCGGGCTTGTATATTGGGAGATTGCTCGAAGATGCAATTCTGGAGGTACTTTTCTCTTCTGCCTTTTCTTGCTCCTGCCTCCCCGTCTAGGATGCTGATCACCTGAGGATGCTGGTGTTCTACTGCCTCCTTTCTTTTTACAACCTGCCGGATGCCTAGTGACAGACTCCGTCAATCACAGCGTTCTCATCACATATGAGGGAACCCGGGAGGTAGCTGTGCGAAGGGTGTGTTTGCTCTCTGGACCAGCTTCTAAAGTCGTGCTTTCATTGTGGTGAACATTCTGGAGGCCTATTTGGCTTTTTAAAAATTTTAAACAGATTGTTCTTATTGGGCCTGGAGGTTGCGAAAGTCCTGGGCAGGAATAGAATGGAGCTACTGCAGGGGTCTCCTTGATACAGGAGGCATTGTATGCTAACACACTGGCTCTCAAGCTGCGCTCCTGGGGAACATGGGTTTCATTGACAAATTAATAGTGGTAATTTCTCAATTTGTAGGATAAAGCTTACCAGTGTGTAGAATTTTCTCAAAATGAGTTTTTCTCATGTACTTTTTCTTAAATCTTTGGAATTTGCAACTATTCACTTATGTCAGAATCCAGTAAAAGGCAGTGTCAGGTTTAGCTGAGAACATTTTTATCATCAGCTTAGTACATCAGTATTTTACAGTGACTTTCAAGTATGCTGCCCTCAAGTTCAGGAACCACTAGAGCCCTGCCCTCAGCCAGTTATCTCTAATGTAAGAAATTCCAGTCAGGGGAAATGAATTAAGTGAAATGAAATGAAATGAATTAAAAAGAACTGGTGAGCCCTGACCGGTTTGGCTCAGTGGAAGAGCGTCAGCCTGCGGACTGAAAGGTCCCAGGTTCGATTCCGGTCAAGGGCATGTACCTGGGTTGCGGGCACATCCCCAGTGGGAGGTGTGCAGGAGGCAGCTGATCGATGTTTCTCTCTCATCGATGTTTCTGACTCTCTATCCCTCTCCCTTCCTCTCTGTAAAAAAATCAATAAAATATATTAAAAAAAAAAAGAACTGGTGAGTCTTCCAGCTAGATCCTTTTCTGTGTTACTATCTTTTTCTGTCTATAATATTTTTGGTAAGATCCAAATTATGGAGAAGGCACCCAGGTATTCATAGAATTGTACATCTAAAATTTTGATCCTTATATACAGAAAACAGATTAAGAAAATCTGGTCACACAGATCTTAACCTGAGTAACTTAATTTGTTCTTCCTCATACCATCCAGAAATTGGGGCTAAGTGTATAATAATAATAATGCTAACATTTATCCCTTTTTATGTATAAATTAGTTTAATCTTTACTATAAACCTGTAAAGTGGGTACTAATATTGTCACCATTTTGCAGATGAAGAAACAAATCATAGAGAGATTAGCTAATTTGTCCAAGATCATATGGCTGATAACCTAGTATTCAACTTGTGGTAAATTGAGGTCAGAGCTCAAGCTCTTAACTACCCCTGAGATAACTACCAAGTCAACTCTATTGCTTTTTGTTTTTTTATTTCAGAGAGGAAGGGAGAGGGGGAGAGAGAGAGAGAGAGAGAGAGAGAGAGAGAGAGAGAACGAACCACCAATGATGAGAATCATTGATCAGCTGCCTCCTGCACACTCCATACTGGGGACTGAGCTCGCAACTAGGGCATGTGCCCTTACTGGGAATTGAACTCCCCCTAATTGTCTCTATGGTTACCAAGGTGGACCTCCTGATTCATAGCTCGATGCTCAACCACTGAGCAACACTGGTCTGGCTGGACTCTATTTAAAAGTCTCTCCTATTAGCTCCGGATAGCAGAATTCTTCCTGGAAAAGGGCATGAGAAAGTTACATTGGATTTTTTTAAAATATATTTTTATTGATTTCAGAGAGGAAGGAAGGGGGAGAGAGACAATGATGAGAGAGAATCATTGATCAGCTGCCTCCAGCATGCCCCTTCTCTCCCCACTGGGGATCGATCGAGCCTGGGATCCTTCAGTTCGCAGGCTAACATTTTATCTACTAAGCCAAACCGGTTAGGGCACATTGAATTTTTTAAATTAATTTTTTATTATGGAAAATATTTCAGTGTGTAACTCTGACTTCCAAAAATAATACTCTTGTCACGCTTTTTAAAATGAACATTAATTCTTAATATCATTTAACATCAGTCAGTGTTGAGATTTCCCCAATTTTCTCCTGAACAGTTTGTTCAAAATTAGGGTTAATGTTCATTTGTTGCAGTTGATTGATGCATTGCTTAAGTCTCTTATAATCTACTAGAGGCCCAGTGCATGAAATTCGTGCACTGGGGAGGGGAGTCCCTCAGCCTGGCCTGCGCCCTCTCACATTCTGGGAGCCCTTAGGGAATGTCCAACAGATGGACATCCTTAGTTCTGCCATGGAGGCGGGAGAGGCTCCCGCCAGTGCCACTGCGCTCGCCAGCTGTGAACCCGGCTCAGGGCTTCTGGCTGGGTGGTGCTCCCCCTGTGGGAGCGCACTGACCACCAGGGGGCAGCTCCTGTGTTGAATGTCTGCCCCCTGGTAGTCAGTGTCTGTCATAGCGACTGGTCATTCCACCATTTGGTCAGTTTGCATATTAGCCTTTTATTATATAGGATAGGATAGGTTTCACATCCCATTTCCCGCCCCCCATGGTTTTTTAAATTGGAAAATCCAGTCTTTTGTCCCATAAATTTTTCTGTTTGTCTCTTCATAGAGTTCATGTGTTCCTGTGAATTTTCTGTGATAGTTACATTCAATGACTACAATCAGATTTTTTTTTTTCAAAAGTTCTTCTGTTACAAGGCACATAGTGCTGGTAACTCTATTTCTGTGATATTAACAGCCATCAGTGATCACTGTCCAAATCCAAATTCATTAGAGGTTGAAAAATGCCAGTATTCTGATTCTATCAGCCTTCATGTATTAGCTAGATTTCTTCTTGGAAGAGAAACTTCCCCTAATTGTCTCCATGGTTACCAAGGTGGATAGTTTGAACAGGAGCGGCAGGAAAAATACTTGATGTCCATTTATCGAAATAACAAGTGTTACCTATCATCTTACAAAGATGACTGTGATTTTGAGGGTTTTGCTGTTTAGTATAATTATGAACTGGAAGACTTTTTTTTGAACTGGTGGATTTTAAATATTTGTTTCCATTAAAGTTATTAATCTTACTATTGCATAAACGTTCTCATCTTTGACTGGTTGGGAGCTTTTCAAGTTGGTGCCTGTCGACTTGACCTCAGTAGTCTTTGATAGTTTTCTTGCCTTTTGGTATGAAAAAGATGTTTCTGGCTAATCATCTGCACCTCTTGCCCCATCCCTAGATCCACCGAGCTCTCCAAGGAGCCCATTCCCTCCCAGTGGGCCGTGGTGTGTGCGGGCCACCGTGTGCTTGTTCTCATTGGAGTTTGACTCATCTCCTCCTCCTCTTGGTAACTCAGGTGGACATTTTCTTTTCTTCCAGGAGTCCATGAAGAATATCAGCTGCCATATTATGACTTAGTGCCCTCTGACCCTTCCATTGAGGAAATGCGCAAGGTCGTATGTGACCAGAAGCTGCGTCCCAACATCCCCAACTGGTGGCAGAGTTATGAGGTAGGAAGCTCCCCTACCTCCTGCTGCTTTTCCGTCTGCATGGTTCTTCTACCTTACTTGACAGTGGGCCCAACCCCTGAGTGTGTCTGTTACAATAATACCACTGTGCTATGACATTATATACTAAGCCCTGAGAGGCCACAGTCCCTTGTCCTGGGCATTGTAGGGTCCCCTTTGGAATCCACAGCCTAGTAGAAGCAGTTGGCCCTGGGGACACAGATAAGATAGGTGGTCAACAGGAGACAGAAACAAAAGCCTAGTGGGAGCTCTTAGACCTGTCTAACTGGAAAGATGACTTAGTGAGTACATGTCTGTGAGGGAGGTGGCCTTTCTAACAACTCAGAAGAGCGGAGGGGGATGCGGAGAATTTGAATTTGGGGAAGATGGCAGATGCAGTGAACAGGGAACAACGTGGCTGACTGGTATAGCTCAATAATTGAACATCAACCTGTGAACCAGGAGGTCAGGGTTCGATTCCAGGTCAGGGCACATGCCCGGGTTACAGTATGGGGCGCGCAGGAGGCAGCTGATCAGTGATTCTCTCTCATCATTGATGTTTCTATCTCTCTCTCCCTCTCCCTTCCTCTCTAAAATCAATAAAAATATATATATTTTTTAAAAAACAGAACATTTTGTGTAAAGAATTGAAATGACAAATTTATTGTACAGAGTCCTAATGAACATGGAGTTCCGGGGTCTTAGAGTCTTCAGGGGGAGCAGGTTTTGCCTAGCTAAGTGCACTTGGGCCTCTTTTTCCCTCATAGCTCTGCTTTTTTTCTTTTCTTTTTTCCCAGAGAGGAAGGGAGAGGGAGAGAGAAACATCGATGATGAGAGAGCATCATCGATTGGCTGCCTCCTGCACACCCTCACTGGGGATCTAGCCTGTAACCCAGGCATGGGCCCTGACCCAGAATGGAGCGGTGTCCTGGTTCATAGGTGGCTGCCCAACTACTGGCAGGCAGCTCTGCCTTTTAGGAATATAACCACTAGAGGGCGCTTCTGCATTGACCAAAAAATTACTTCGTTCACATTTTACATGATGTCCTCTCATTGCATAATACAGCAGCATTTTCCAAATGTTCCTTGGAACCCCAATTGGGTTTACTTCAGAGGATGAATGTGAGGCTGGAAGAGCTGCTTTTACTGCCCTGCCCCACCCTCTGTTCAGTCACCACTGTTTGTATTGTTGGGACTCTACTCAGGAAAGTAGGGAAAAAAATATTTTTCCTCTCTGAAAATTCCACTGTTAAACGGAATTTTGAAAAATAGTGGCCTTGAGCAGTGATCGAGGAAATTTATAGCCCTCGATAACCAGTAGCGGTCCTTAGGCGACCTTCCACGTCACCTTTTGGCCTGACTATAGTGGTCGCCTGTGTCATCTTGGCAATGACAGTGAAGCTTTCGGCCTCTGACAAGATTGCTTTCAGGGTCTAGTTTCCACTGGGGCCTTACTAATTGTTCTTTTAAAAAGTAGCATATGGCCCTAACTGGTTTGGCTCGGTGGGTAGAGCATCAGCCTGTGGACTGAAGAGTCCGGGGTTTGGTTTTGGTGAAGGGCATGTACCTTGGCTGCAAGCTCGATCCCCAGTCCCCAGCCCTGGTCAGAGCATGTGGAGGAGGCAACCAGTTGATGTGTCTTTCTCACATCGATGCTTCTCTGTCTCTGTCTTTCCCACTCCCTTCCACTATCTCTAAAAACAAACAAACAAAAAACAACCAATGGAAAAAATATCACTCCGTGAGGATTAGCAAACAATAAAAAGTGGCAGATGAGCCCTGGCCAGGTAGCTCAGTTGGGTAGAGCTTTGTCCTGATGTGCCCAAATTGTGAGTTTGATTTCCGGTCGGAGCACATACAAAAAAGTAACCAGCCCGTCCGGCGTGGCTCAGGGGATGAGCTTCGACCTGTTAACCAGGAGCCGCAGTTCAGTTCCCAGTCGGGTATATGCCTGAGCTGTGGACTCAATCGCCAGGGCGGGGCAGCCAGTCAGTGATTCTCTCTCATCATTGATGTTTCCATCTCTCTCTCCCTCTCCCTTCCTCTCTGAAATCAATAAAAATTATTAAAAAAATAAAAAGTTGAAAAAGTTAAAAAAGCAACCAGTGAATGCATAAATAAGCCAACAACATATCTCTCTCTGTGTCTCTCCCTCCCTTCTTTCCTCTCTCTAAAACCAATAAAAAAAGTTTTTAAGTAAAATAGAACAACAATCATGAAAATGGATTCTCAAACCTGATAGAAGTGATTGTCAGACCACAGGTGGTTGTGGGTGTTTCTTTCCAGGTTGCGCAGATGATGGGGCGGCTCGCGGTGCTTGCAGGGAGCTCCCCCTCCTGCGGAAGCTTTCTCCTTGTGCCTGCACAGCCCGGCCCCTAAGGCAGGGCGAGCCATGGGGACAGGGACGCTTGCAAGGTGTTTGCCTAGGTTCAGAGGGGAGAGGAGATCCTGGCAGACTTTCACGGAGAAACGAGGGGCCTGGGGACCAGAAAGGCTTCCGCGGGGCAGGGTCACATTGATGCCTCTGGGTCTCCGTGCAGGCGTTACGAGTGATGGGGAAGATGATGCGAGAGTGCTGGTACGCCAACGGCGCAGCCCGCCTGACTGCTCTGCGCATTAAGAAGACCCTTTCCCAGCTCAGCGTGCAGGAAGATGTGAAGATCTAACCCTGCTTCCCTCCCCTACATGCAACCTGGGCAGCGAGGACTACACAGAGCTGCCATGTCGAGCGTACGATGGAGGCCTACCTCTCGTTTCTGCCCAGCCCTCTGTGGCCAGAAGCCCTGGTCCGAAAGAGGGACAGAGCCCGGGAGACCCGCTCACTCCCATGTTGGGTTTGAGACACAGACACCTTTTATACTTACCTCCTAGTGGCATGGAGACTCTGAGCGAATGGTGTGAGAACTCGGTGCCACAACTCTGAACGGGTTGTAGTGGGGAGTCCCGCCCAACCCGGTGCGCCTGGGGTACATCCAGGAGTGGTAACAGCGGCCTGGGGGGCCCAGGTGAAGCCGAGTGCTGAGCAGCACTGAGATTTTCCTCCAGGAACCGGCCCCAACACCGAGGTGGCCCAGAGGAACCTGAAGCGCAGCCCCTCTGGCAGGCAGTTCTGGGCCCCGTGCTCCACCCTCGCCCAGACATCGGCAGGGGCTGCCAGCGGAGACGGAATCCGCCCCTGTCTGTCCAGCCAGGTGTGCATGTGCCGAGGTGCGTCTCCTGTTGTGCCTGGTCCGTGCCACGCCCTTATGTGTGTGCGTGCGTGTGTGTACGTGTGTGTACGTACATACGTGTGTGTGTGTGTGTGTGTGTGTGCGCGTGTCTGTCTGTAGGTGCGACTTCCCTGCTTGAGCTTTCTGTGCATGTGCAGGTCAGGGGTGTGTTCTTCATGCTGTCTTCGTGCTGGTGCCTCTGTTCAGTAGTGAGCAGCGTCTCGTTTCCTGGTGCCCTGCCCAGAGGTCTCCTCCCTGCCCCTGCCCCTGCCCCAGAGCTCTGAGCCACGGTACCCTCCTTCCCCACAGGCGGCTCTGCCAACCCTGCGTGAGCACCGCTCTCCATTTCAGACTGGAACCAAAGCTGGCCCAGCAGGCTTTGGGGTCCAGATGTGAGGGAGGGTGGGTGGGCAGGGAAAGCAGCTCGGTGTGAGTCTTGGGCGTGTGGTCAGCTGCCACCGTAGGAAATGAGCCAGCCCAGGGCATGCATGGTCCTCGCAGCATCCAGGAAGGCCCAATGCGTTTGCAGCCCAGATCGTGGGGCTCGGATTAGAATGTCACATCTGTCTTTCCTGTCCCAGATTCTGGAAACAGCCGTGTATATTTTTGGTGGTGGTGGGTTTAGGGTAGGGAAGGGAAAGGGGGGCAGGGAGTGGGGAGGGAGTGCGGGTGGGAGGGAGGCATCTGCATGGGTCTTTTACTGGATTATCTGATCGTGGTGGAGGGAAGGTAGGAGGCTTGTACCCACTTCAGGGGCCCTGCTAAAGGGAGCAGCCTGAGCCGAATCATATTTAACCTGAATGTAGTAGTGAACGATGTCTAGAAGCACGGTTGTAGGTGGGGTTTGGTCACCATAGCTTAGGTATATAATGACTTTGAAGCCATAACTTTTAACTGGAGTGGGTTTTTTGTTGTTTGTTTTTTAATTTTATTGGGAGGGTCTAGATTTTAACTTTTTTTAATATTATTAAGTTTTTATAAAAGGAAAACCATCTCTATGTGATGATTACCTCTCAATTTATTTGTTTTTAAAGAAACCCTTACAAAAACAACCACAAAAAAAAAAAAAAAGCTTCAATCAAGCGCACATAGCTCAATCACACTGGAAACGTCCGTCCTTGTCCTGAGCCTGTCCCCACTCCACGGGAGCGGCCCGTCCTGCCCTGGGGGTTAGTCTCTCTCGCTTCTGCCCACCCACCCCCAGTTCCAGGAGTGGCTGGGGGCCAGGGCCCTGGCCTGTTGTGCACTGTCCAGCTGGTTGCTCCTTCTCCAGGCGTTTACTCAGCTAATGTTGAGTGCCTGTTGGGTGCCAGGCACTGTGCTAGGTGCTGGGATACGGCTGTGAACAAGACAGGCTTGGGTCCTACCCTTGGAGCACTGAGAAAGGACCTGGTCCAAGTTGGTGGGTGCCTGTTTTGAGACCAGAAGTTCCATACAGTCGTTGGTTCTGAGAGCCTTTGAGCCCGGAATGATTGCTCTCATAGAAGACCACCGAGGAGCAAGGATGCCTCCCACGCCAAAGAGACCGGTGGTGGGCAGAGCGCCCAGTCACTGCGTTCCTTCTGCGCCTCCTCCCTGCCCAGGGAGCATGGTGTGGATGCAGCTGCACAGCACCCCTGCCTCCAGCCAGCGACTCGCTGCCAAAGCTTGTGGAGGAGGGAGCCCTCTCCCTGCTTCTGTCTCCCCGATGCCCCTGGCCTTTCTATTTATTTTCCTGATGTGTTGCCTCTTTCCTTGCATTAAAGGAGATTTCCCCCTAACTGTTTGGGCCAATTTACTGGCTATTGACTAATTTCCCTTGAATACCAATTGTGTCATCAGGGGACTTCCTTTCCTCACCTCTGCCCTGCAGAACCTGGCGGGTTCTAAGTGGTTATGGGATTAGACTCCCCGTGCCCATCACAACCAGCCTCTGGGATCTGCCAACACTCCTCGACCCAGGGACTCCCAAGCCACTAGCCTGCTCCTTAGGTGGCCCTTCTGTCCTCACCACACGTACGTCCAGTTCCTCCCCCCTGGGGAAGACTGAGCAGTTTTTTGGGAAGCTCCCATCCTCACCCTCGCCACTCTTAACCATAAGCGTTAGGAGTTCAGAGGGCTGGGGAGAAACTACAGCCTGAAGCCGTGGTGTTTGGCCCCCTGAGGCTAACCCTGACCCTTAGGGCGACCTGCACCTCTGGATTCCGGGTTCACAGACCAAGGCCAAGCCCGTTCTTTTGTTGCCATCAAGGCCCCCGAACGGCATTCTCGGTACTTCTGTTTGTTTTTGTACATTTTACTAGAAAGGATTGTAAAATAGCCACTTAGACACTTTACCTCTTCAGTATGCAAATGTAAATAAGTTGTAATATAGGAAATCTTTTGTTTTAATATAAGAATGAGCCTGTCCAATTTCTGCTGTACATTATTAAAGTTTTATTCACAGAGCTGATCTGGTGCCATCTGTTTTCCATCTGTGGATTGCGCTCAGCTGTTGTCAGGGGAGTGGGCCCGGGCAGATGTTCTCAGGTGGCGTTTCCACCCTCCCCCTGGGCTGGGCAGCAGGTCACAGAGAGGAGCTGACCCGCCCCTGTGGGGTCTCCCTGAGACTGTCCTCTGTTCTGTGGAGGGAGAAGGCCTGGCGCATGAGGGAGTGGGACACTAAACACCTTTTCCTGGGCTCTGTATTTTAGTCTTGTAGCATTTTCCTCTTTAGACAAAAGAGGGTCTTGATCCTGCTTAGTTGCAAACCACGTAGTCTCGAAGAGCTCTCCTCAGTTTCTGCTTCCCCTCCTAAACTGGCGTGTAAATGTGAATCTGGGGCTTTAAGACGTGAGTCTCCAGTGGTTCCTCTGGCATTTTCAGTGTGTGGGTGGCTGTGAACGTCTGTCTCTAGGCTGAGGGAACCTGGGATAAAAGTCCTAGAATCATAGCATTTCATGTGTAGGTGGCACCCTAGAGGTCCCCTAGCCCACCACCCCGTGGGCACTTGCCTCCCGACAGCATCCCGCCACGTGCTTGTGGGCCACGTGATTCCAAACCTGCTGAAACACTCGGGACCACAACTTGCACCTGCCGGCAGGCGTCTGCTGCGGAGAAAGCTCTTCCTCATGCAGATCCGGGCAACCTCCATGTGACTTCCATCCTCAGGCGCTTCAGAGCAGCTTCCTCTCTTCCATATAAGGCCCTTCCAATACTTGAAGGCAGCTGTCATGTTACCACGAGTCTGGCAAAGCTTCGAGTTCCTTCAGTTAATATTAGCAGATACTTACGTGTGCTGAGCAATGTGCCCAAATTTGCTTTACGTATATCAATTGCTTTCATTGAAAAGAGTGTGAGGTGGGCGTTATTGTCCTCTCTTTGTGGTTAGGAAACAGGGTTAGAACTCAAGTAACTGGCCAGTAAATCAAATAAGCTTAGCTCACAGGCTGGAAGAGACCTTGGGTTTAGGATGTCGGACCGCAGGCTGCAGCCCTTTAGCCTTGGCACCGTCCAGCCTCCATGGTCCATGGTTCTTCCCCAGGCCAGCTGCTCTCCACCAAGCCAGCTAGAGCCGGGCCAGGAAGGACACGTAACATTTCACCTAGGCGTTAACTGGCAGCACAGTCTAGAACAGGAGCCCCGGACTGTGCTTGACACCTGCAGGTCACATCCCATGGCTGCATCTCATGTCTTGGATTGAGTAAAATCCAGCCACCCTCTCCTTCCTCCATCCTGTATAAGGGAAGTTGAACTCAGGTGCAGAACCACATATGTTTACCCTATTAAGTTTTAGCATAGATAGAACCTGCCCATTGCTCCAGCCTGTCGATATTTTAAAATTCTGATTGTTTACCTAGACCCGTGGTCGGCAAACCGCGGATCACGAGCCACATGCGACTCTTTGGCCCCTTGAGTGTGGCTCTTCCACAAAATACCACGCGCGGGCGCACACGTACAGTGCGATTGAAACTTCGTGGCCCATGCGCAGAAGTCGGTATTTTGTGGAAGAGCCACACTCAAGGGGCCAAAGAGCCGCATGTGGCTCGAGAGCCACGGTTTGCCGACCACTGGGCCCTATACTTTTTCATTGTTTTCTCATCTGAGACTGTGGGGCTGGAGAAAATCAAGTAACTTTTAGAAGTTGGCTTTAAGTTTGGCATATATCCCCATTACCCAGGTTAGCTGCTAATTAAATGCTCCCTGGCCACAATTCTTTGATGCACAAAGAAAACAGCAGAAGCCCAGGTAGCTTGCTGAAGTGGGCAAGTATTACGGCCGCTGCATCTCTTTGACCTACCTGTCTGTCGGAAGGAAAGGTGAAGTGGCTTGTCGTTAATCTCAACCCAGTTCAAAAGACAGTCACCCTGCAGGCCTGGACCTACAATTCACTAAGCTATGGATTGCAGGTTCAACTTCATTCTGGAAATCAGAATGCCAACCATTCTGGTACCTGTTCATGTGCCCTTGGAGGTTACTAACGGGGTTTCACCTTTGTAAGGCCCCGTACAGGAGACCTGAATTCATTTGACTGGTGTATCACTTGGGTTTTCGTTACACACATTTTACAGTTCTGCTTCCTCCTTCGTCCCAGGCCATGTCTTCTGTCTGGTCTTTGCACTCTGGAAAACATGACTGCTAAAAACAACCAAAACAAAATAAATAGAGTAGGAGCCTTCAGGAGACACTCGGGAACATGGAGGGATGCAGAATGAAGGTGGCGGGAGGGGAGGAAGCTTTGGATCCAGCCAGGAATGCTGTATTAGGGTTCCCCAGAGAAAGAGAACCAGTAAGGTAGGTAGGTAGATGGATGGATGGATGGATAGATAGATAGGTATTTTAAGGAATTGATTCATGGTTGTGGGGGCTGGCAAGTCTGAAATGAGGTCAATGAGCTAGAGAGCCAGGGAAGAATTGATGATGCAGCCTTGTGTCCGAAGGCAGCCTGGAGGCAGAATTCCTTTTCCCTCAGGGACCTCAGTGTTTGAAGGCTTTCAGCTGAGTGGATGAGGCCCAACCGCATTTGCAAGGCAATCTGCTTTGCTGAAATTGTACTGATTGAAAGGTTAATCATATCGAGAACATGCCTTCACGGCAATGTCTAAGCTGGGGTTCGACCAAACGCCTGGCAGCACACCCAGCGGGAAGCTGATGGGCACCCCATGGTCGGACAGGAAGGCAGTGAAGGGATATGGCAGAGAGCCCTGGGTCTGTCTGGGAATGCTCTTTGGAAGCCAAGGATGAGGCTAATGGGATAGGAAGGTTTAAGGAACAATTAATAATAGATTGTGATGAAATAAGCATTTGTTGAGCAACGGTAGTGTGTAAAGCAGAAGGCAGAATGAACAGTATGACCCCTTCTCTTCACCACAGAGAGGATCTGTACGAAGAGAACAATGAAGCAGATCTTGGCAAGTCCCATTACGGAGCAACACTTAGGGAGTGATGGAAGCACCGATGACATGCCTAGGGGGGCGGGGGGGGGGGGCCCACTGGTGGAACAGACTAGTAAATAGATAACTACAATGGACTGAGATGAGTGCTATAAGGGTAGACAAATGCTCTGGGAACAAAGGACAAACGAGGTTGGGGTCAAGAGAGGTGACATCTATTTTGGAGCAGACATTGGCCTGCTGATTGAGGAGAGGAGGGAGTTTTAGTCAAAACGAGTGTCACCAAGAACCACATACGTGCAGTACGGCTAGTGCAAGGGAGCCAGGGCTGCACTGGAGCTGTCACGTGCTGAAAAAAGAATTCATTCTGGGGCCACTAATGCCATCACTCCCCCTGTGACAGGTACCCCAAGAGGTGCTAATCTACCAGTAACTTTTCCTCTTGAGTCTAGACTTGGTCTCCAAATTCTTCTCAACAGCATGCTTATGTGGAGTTGTCCCATAAAGCCTCTCTGTCGTTCCTGATGTAGGGAACGGGCACTTTAAAGCAAGGCTTTAAGCAAGGGCGAGACGTGATCCTATAAGTCAGTGGTTCTCAACCTGTGGGTCGCGACCCCTTTGGCGGTCGAACGACCCTTTCACAGGGGTCGCCTAAGACCATCCTGCATATCAGATATTTACATTACGATTGATAACAGTAGCAACATTACAGTTATGAAGTAGCAACGAAAATAATTTTATGGTTGGGGTCACAACATGAGGAACTGTATTTAAAGGGCCAGAAGGTTGAGAACCACTGCTTTAAGTGTTTGGGGACAATCACAGCACTGACTCCAGGAAGCAATTGCAGTGGTGGTAGCAGGATCAGCTGCAGGAAAGGGGGAGACTGTTGGTAGGATGCAGGGGTTTGGGGCGTGAGCAAACGCAAACAGTGAGAGAAAGAGGCGAGCCGGCCAGTGTAAACAGGAGGATCTTAGCCTGGTGCCCAGTGCCCTCCCTGGGAGAGGGAATGAGCAGCTGTGTTAGCCAAGAGGGTGGAGATCTGGGGAACCTGGCTCCCTAAGAGCTGCTACTTGCTGTCCTAACTGTACCTGTTCTGAAACGAAGCAGGTAAATAATGCACACCCTCTGTCCTAGGCGGGTGCTGTGAGGAGAGCTGCAGAGTGGCCCTCCTTCCTTCCGCCGGTCTGACTTGTTCAGGCTGGAGACACCTTGCCACCCCGCGCAAGATGGTCTCTGACCTCTGGGTGGGACCAGACTCAGAGGCCACCCGTATCCAACGGAAATAAGCTGTCCTATCTGCCTTGCCCCAACACTCAAACCCCCTCGAGTCAAGTCTGGGCTGTGGTGGACCCCCCTGCTGCTGGGCTCCCTGGGCCACAATACTGCACTCGCACTATCCTGCAGAAACTGTAGGAGTCATTCAGAAAAACAACCACTCCTTCCCTGTCAGCTGCCCACCGGCTGTCCATGCCTCCCTCAGTGTCATGCAACTGGGGGCCCAGCCCCTCATTCCTGACCAGAGAGCCAGCTGAGTCCCAGGCCCTCGCCCTCCCACCCCCCTGCTTGGGAGCAGTGGCAATACCCAGGGAAGAGCCCCAGTGGCAGACTGGTCGTCCCTTCCAGTCCTGCCACTGAGTGAGACTCCATAGGGGCCTGAGCTTCTGGAGCTCTCCCCCCCTCTCCCCCCCCCAGTGCCCCAACTTCCCTGGAGCTTGAGCAGGTCGCTGGGGGTGAGATCCAGCTCTCCCACTTCCGCCATGGGGGCTGTTGAGAGTCTGGGCAAGGGCTTGTGCTGAAGAGAAGGGGGGTCTTACCTTGACCTTGTCCATGAGCTGAGCCCCTGTTGTCTGTGCCCCCAGCACAAGCCAAGCCCTACCCGGAGAGCTGAGAACTAGGGCAGCGGGGGCAAAAGGAAGCCAGACTTGGGGAGCTCGTTCTGAAAGGCAGGGACTTGCCCTTGGGCATAAAATGCAGATCGAGTGCAGATGTCTGAGGAGTCAGAGCAATGGGGCTTTTGCAAGGAGGCTTCCCAGAGAGGAGAAAGCGGGACGATGTGTCCTGGTATGAGGTGCGGGCAGTGTGCAGCGCGCTCCCCCAAGCTTTAAGGAGCTGCAGGAGATGGGATGAGGAGAACAGATGCTAGACCAGAGGCTCGGGCTGAGGAGGCAGTCGTGGAGGCTTGGAAAAGGCAAAGGCTAAGGGCCTCATGTACCATCTGGCGGAGGTCACAGCAGGGAGGTTACAGCATCCAGGCGGCCCCCCAGCGTGCCTTCCTGATGAATTTCACCTGCAGCAGGGCAGCGCTGGCTGAGTTCAAAACACAGCTTCCTCCCTGCGACAGGTCTGAGATTCCAAACTCAGTGGCTAAAGTGGAGCTGGGCTCCTCAGGGGAACACAGACCCTCTGGGCTGGGAGAGTTGTGGGGGATCCACAAAACCAGCTGGGATTCCAGGTGGAGTCCTGGCACCAGCCCTTCAGTCTGATTTGAAGATTTTCCACCAAGAGACTCGCGACCACCAGAGGGCATCACCACCCCATGGTGTGGTATCGTCACCACCTTCCCTGGAGAAACTGGCCGGGGTTGGGGGTTGAGGGGGTGGAGGTGGGAGCAAGCAGGCACAGGTCTCTAGGCTCTCAGGGGAGCTACCAGCAACGGAATTAAACAGCCCCTGGGTCTAGAGCCCCGGGATCCCGTGGTCATAGCACCTGTTCTGCCACCCTCTGGGCCTCCGTTTGCCTCCTCTGTTAGACGAGGGCTTTCACCACATGGTATCCCTTCCGGACCATAAGGCCCTTTCCAGCTCTGAAGTTCCTGCGTTTGGGGAAATCGTGCAATGGCCCCGACAGAATTGCATCTCCCGTGCCACCCTTCTCCAGGGTTCTCCGGGGCTCTCTGCCTGGCGGGAGGAGGACCCTGGGTGACCTTCTCTGGGGGTGGCCTCTCACCGGGAGGCAGGGAGGCAGACTGACTGCACACTGAGGGGTCTGCCTCCACCTCGGCCTGAAGGAGGAGTGTCTGAGCAGGGCTGTCCACCAGCTGCTGTGCTCCCACGGCGTCCGCTTCTCCAGGTCTCAGGCAGGGAGGTGTCGGTTAGGTAGCCTCTGGGATCGGTAGGATGGTGGTCCTTCCCGGAAGGGTTGTACCAGATGCCCTCTCGCAGGTCTCTTCAGGGATAAGCACAGGAATATAGAGAATAGAAACCATTGCCTCCCCACCCCCACCCCACCCCCAGCACAGATGCCGTCTGTCAGGAGCAGGCAGCAGACGGTCCAGGGGTCCATCTGTGCTAATGCTTCACAATAGAGTCCCATGTTTCCCCACCGACACCCCCTCACCCCCTCAGCTGATGGCCACTTGCTGGTGCCAAGGGGAGAAGTGGGAGGTGGAAGATGAAGGCACTATGGGAGTTAGCTCTTCGCTCCTGGCAGTCCCCACTCCACCCCTGCCCCCCACCCAACAGGCATCCTGCCATCTGGACTTGTGTAATCCCTGAGGGGCAGAGACGTACCCCTTCCCTCCCACACCTCCTGCAGGGCAGGGCCAGCGGCCGGGGGCCAGGGGGCCTGGGGGTGGGGAAGAGGCAGACACAGAAAGTCAAGAAGACAAGGAAGCAAGGAGGCTGTGACAGACCCTGAATGAGATAAACAGGAGACAGGCTGCCCCAGGTGGATGTGGCCACTTGTCCCTCCCTCCCTCCTCAGGCCAGGTGTCTAACTCAGCACTTGTACAGGTACCACTCCCTACCAGCCCAAGAGCCTCTGTAACCCCAGAGCCCAGCCAGGACCTGGCATGGAGCAGGGCTCAAATGCAGAGAGAATGAAGAACTGAAGATGACAGCATCATATCGTGGGAGAGTGCAGGCTCTGGGATCAGGCTGTCAGGGTTTGAATCTCAGCTCTGCCACTAAGCAGCCTAGAGCGAGTTCCTGCGCCTCCCTGGCCTCAGTTTCCTCGTCTGTAAGGGATGATAACGATACCTGTTTCATAGGGTTGTCATGAGAACCAGCGAGTGAATTTGTGTATGTAAAGCACAAGCAGCACAGTGTGCACAGCCCATGGCCCATGATCAGTGAATGTGAGCGGTAGAGGCTCACACAGGCACAGCCCTCCCTGGCCTTGGCCTCTGCGTAGCGGCTGATGTGGCGCTTGACACCCTGTGGGGGTTACCGGCTCCTCAGACGCCAGCCCTGGCCTTCCACTTCCTCCTCTCACTTCTTATTCAGGCACCTCTGACGACAGAGCCTTAGCTGGGCCGTCCCCACTCTCCCGTGGCCTGGGAGCCCAGGGATGGTCCCTAAGACGGGGTCAGAGTGGCCGAGCACACCCCCTCCCCATGCGTCAGCTCCTTAGTCGGCTGGGGAAGGGGTAGGTGAGCTCTGACGTCAAGAGCTGAGAGATTGATCCAGGAGGGACCAGTCTTCCCCTTTGAGAGGCCGGGACGAATGAAGCCCACCGTCCTCTGGGTTTCCACCGCGGCCCTTGCCCTGACTTGGGAGGGGAGAAAGCCCCTCCGACCTCTGCTGGGGGAACCTGGGCCTCTCGCTCCGTGGGCTGCGGCACAGCCCTGCAGGGCGCCTCTTCCCCAGGGGCCGCCCCCTCCCCCTGCACAGCCCGGCGGCCACCCCCCTTGCTTACAGGCTTCTGCAGCCCCCAGGGTCTCCCAGAATCTTCCCTGGGTCGCCAGACCTGCTCCCAATGACCCCTTACTGCCGTCCACCCCCACATGCTCCACGAGTCTCCAAAGCCATCCATCGCACATGTTCCAATCTCTCACTCGAGCCCCTTCACAGCACCCCCCGCCCCCAGGTGTCTCGGAGACCCTGGAACCCGCCCAGGATGCCCTGCTTCTCCCCCCCACACACACCCCTCCTCCCCGGCCAGGCTTCCCCCTTCGAGTGCTCCGGTCCCCGACTTGCCCCAGCCGCGCCGGGCTCCGCGCGCCGTGGGCCGGGCTCCAGGCAGCGCCCCCCGGGGGCGGGGCCTGCGGCTCTGGGGGCGAGGCCGCCGGGAGGCCGCCCCCGCCCCGGGCCCGCCCAGCGAATCCTATAAAGGGAAGCCACGGCCGCCCGCCCGGCTGGCACCCCGAGCTGCAGTCGCCCGCGGCGGAGCGAGCGCCTCCGAGGGGCGCGGGCCGCGGCCGGAGCGATGACCCTCCGCCGACTCCGGAAGCTGCAGCAGAAGGAGGAGGCGGCCGCCGCCCCGGACCCCGCCGCCCGGGCGCCCGCCTCCGAAGTCGCCCCGGCCCGGACCCCGGCCTCGGGCGCGCCCGCCGCAGCCGCCGGCGCCGGGCCCCCGGGGGACGCGCTGTACGCCGCGCTGGAGGACTACCACCCCGCCGAGCTGTACCGCGCGCTCGCCGTGTCGGGGGGCACCCTGCCCCGCCGGAAGGTGCGTCCTCCCGCCGCCAGCTCCGCGGACCGCCCTCCGGTGCCTCTGCCGCACCCCAGGGTCCCTTCCTCCTGGCCTCCAGCCGCAACACCCCCACCTGTGCCTGGGACCCCTGCACCCCGCTGACCCCTGCACCCCCCGCTGATCCCTGCACCCCCCGCTGACCCCTGCACCCCCCGCGACCTTCACAGCATCCTGCCCAGGGCCCCCCAGCCCTCCACCATGTCCCCCAGCCCGCACCCCCACGGCCAGGGCCAGGACCTGCCGCTCCCCTTGGCCCTCTCCCCGAGGGGGCAGCCCTGGCCCCGCAGCCCACGCCTCCACGCCGCCTCGCCGCCGCCCCGTCTCGCTCCTCTCCCTCCTGATCCCCCAGCGCCCCCTCTTCCTCTTCACCCATCTGGCCGGCAGCCTGCCTCCCGGGGCCCACGGTCTGGAGACCCCGAGGGCCCCTCGCCCGGCTCCTGCGGTTGGAGCGGGACGGGGCTGGGGTCCCGCCTCGCCGCGCCCACTGGAGGGTCCCGGGTGGAGAGGGAGGGCGGCGGGTGCGCCGAGGCCACGAGCGCTCACCCCGCGGAGGGAACCCCGGATGCCTCGGCAGGCCGGCTGGGGCCTGCGGTGCGGCCGAGGTGCGGGGTGCGAGGTCAGGGCTCCCTGGACCTGGCTGGGCCGGACTGGCTGGACCGGACGCGGTGGGAGGGGTCCCAGGGCGCCCGCGGGTCAGGAAGGATGCGGGCCTCGCCTGCCCTCTGAGCCTCCCCTCCTCCGCGGGTTCTTCCTCTGGCCTGAGGGAAACCCGAGCTCCCAGAAGGGGGGGTGAGGGGGGACAAGACCCAGGTTAGGAGAGGGGGCTGGTGGCCTTTCCTGGCTCGGTCCCCCTCCTCCTCCCCTGGCCCTTGGCTCCCCCCCACACAATGAACAGCTTGTTGAGAATTTGCATTTTATGAAAATAGGGTGGAAAGACAAAGGGGTCTCTCTCTGTGCTGCCCAGTCCTTCCTCCCTGGCCGTTTGGGAAGTGTCCCACCCCTGAGGCCAATCTCTGGTTCTGGAGAAAGAGGGTCCCCTTATCTTCCTAGCTTTGGGGAGGCCTGTGAGGAGAGGTAACCAGGGCACCAACCAGGGAGGCCCTAGGCTCTTTGGGGCTCATGGGACAATGGCTGGTCTGGGACAGGGCTTCTTCGAAGGATCAATACTTGGGGGGGGGGGGGGAGAAAGAGAGAGAGGAGAGAGAGAGAGACTGCTTTCGTTTCTCAAGTGCCCTAAAGAGGCAGGAACCCTCAGCTCTTTCATTCCCCCCCAAAAAAAGCAAAATAAAAAGAACTCCCAGTCTCTCTCCTAAGTATGGTGAGACTTAAGGATACATTTGAGGGCTAAGATTTTTGTTTGTTTGCTTGTTCTTGTCCCGGAAAGCATCAAATGTCCAGGCTGAGCTGGTCCCTGAAACACCCCGTACTTTGGAGGAGGCGATGGGCTGTCCCCTCCTTCCCACAGTTGGGCTGGGATGGCCCGCCCTCCAGACCTGGGCCCAGCGCCCAGCTCCCCAGCCACTGTCTGCGGCTGAGAGATTAGGAGAGACCTGCCTAGCAGGAGGTCTCGGAGTGCCTTGACAGGAGTCTGGGCGGCCTGAGCCCTGCAGACATGCACCCTGGGGTGGAGACGATTCTGCCGAGATGAATGAAACGCCCACCCCCAGTGTGGGTGTAGAGGTTCGTGTATCTGGCACCCAGGAGGACTGTGTGACTCTGCAGTCCCAGTTATGGGGAGAATGCCATGGGTGACACTGATAGCGGACTTGGCAAGTAGTTACACCAGCGCCAAAGCAGGTGTGCGACTGGGACCAGACTACAGGGAGTGCTGGGGCCAGGGCTGGAGCCCAGGGGAGGGACCTCCCAGAGCAAGGCTCTCAGCATCTGCTCAAGGACAGCCCTGTTCTCACCTGCTCCTTCCTGATTCTCTATCTTCCTGCCCAGGGTTCAGGATTCCGCTGGAAGAATCTCAACCAGAGTCCCGAACAGCAGCGGTAAGTAGCTACCACCCCAGCCCCTGCCCTGGTTCAAAGGCAGGGGGGGGGGGGGTGTTCCTGGGTGAGGTGGGGGGTAGCCTGACAGTATCTCAGCCCAGCCAGGGGCAGTCATTCTCCCACTCTTTCAGCGTGGCTCCCTCCCTTGAAGTAAGGGGCAGGTGTGGGTGTGGGCTGTGTGAAGGGGGTGGCAGAGAAAGAGTCCCTACTTTTGAGTCATCAGATGCTCCTCAACCCACCCCCGTCCCTGGGAGATCTGGACCTGGGAGGTGAGGAAGTTAAGAGAAGTTTTCAGGGTCCTGAGCCCTCGAAGCCCCAACAAATCCAGAGGGCCCAGGCCGTGGCCAAGCTGTGTCCAGCTGCTTCAGTCTTGCTGCCCCGGCTTCGAGAACCTCAGTCCCTTCCTGGGGCAGCCCTGTTAGGAAGGATCTGAGGGAGGGCAGACATGAATGCTGATTCAGGCCCCACTCAGCCCGGTTCCGTCCTGATTTGGGCCTGGCTTTTTCTAAAATGGATCAGCTGGCCAGATTGGCCTGTTTGGTGCCTGAGCTAAGAGTTGTTTTTATATGTCTAAAGGGTTGTTAAAATAAAAACAAAGAACCATATATTAGAGGCTGAATGAACTCCGAAAAGAAAGCCTAAAATATTTACTATCTGACCCTTTGCAGAAAAAGTTTGCCAACCTTCCAGAAAACCAGAGAGCGCTGGCATAAACACAGACTTCCCAGTCACCCCGCTCCCTTCCCCAGCTCACTCAGAGGGCTCAAAGTGGGGAGGCGCTCAGGTTGGGGCTGGGAATTACCACTCAGCATTTGGGGAGTATCTGGGTCAGGCTGAGAGCTGGGGACCTGGGTCTCCAGGGCCTTTCTGAGGCGAGGAGCCGCGGAGGGGCCTTTGGCAGCTGCTTTAACTCTGCCTCTGGCTGGGAGGGAAGGAAGGGGGTGGAGTGGGCAGAGGAAACTCTAGGCTCCCCCAGCAGGCGAGGATCTGGAGCGGCTCCAGACCATTGTGTCCAGTGGGCAGGCCTTCAGTGCGGGAAGGGGCGGCCTTGAGGCTCCCCCCCCCCCCAGCCCTCACATCTGGTGGGCCGGCCCCACCGAAGCTGGGAGGAGCAGCTGTGGTCTGGGCTCAGCCTCGTGACTGGCCTCTGGGGGGCAGGGCCAGCCCTCTTCCCAAGGCTGTGGATCCAGGAGGCTCCAGGCTGGGGCTGAATTTAGAGCCTCTGCTAACTCAGTAAGTGGCTCTCTGGGGCTCATAGGAAGGAGGAAGTGACTGCGAAATCCAGCTAGTCCACTGGCTCTGGGGCTGGACATTCCCAGTGCCTCCCCCCGCCGGAGGCTGGATTGACTCTAGGCGGCTGGACGAAGCTGATTTCAGGTGGACGTGGGACGGCCATTCCAGCAACCTGTGCTGAGAGTGAGGTGTCACTGGAGACAGTGCGCCCTGACTGGGTGTTCTAGGGCTGACTCCAGCAGCAGGCCATGCCATGGGACTGCCAAGCCCCTTTAAATGCTGACAGTCTTGATGAGATGGCCCTTGTGTCTCCTGCAGGAAAGTGCTGACTTTGAAGAAGGAGGAAAACCAGACGTTCGGCTTTGAGATCCAGGTGGGAGAAGCTGGATGCCGAGCAAGTGAGGGGCTGGGAGGCCAGTCTGAGGATGGATGGACCCTGCCCCGTCCCAGGACTCAGGGTCCCCTTGTCTATTGCAGACATACGGCCTTCACCACCGGGAGGAGCAGCGTGTGGAGATGGTGACTTTTGTCTGCCGGGTTCATGAGTCAAGCCCCGCCCAGCTGGCTGGGCTCACGCCAGGTGGGGCCTGAGCTCAAGACGCAGGGCTCTGGGGCGGGGTATAGCCTTACTCCCAAGCAGAGGGGGCAAGAAATCTTTTCTAAAATCAGTTCCCCTTCCTTGTCCTATTTTAGGAAGGCCAGAGAAAAGAATGGGTAGATTCCGGGCTTTGGACCCAGTCTCATCAATATATGGGGGCAATAACATGTCCTCACATTACAGTGTGGCGAGGGGGTTCCCCAAACACAGAGCCAGGGCCTGGTAAATGCCTGACAATGCTGTGGCTGCTCTGCCTCCTCCTGGCAGTCTGGCAACCCAGCACCTGCAGGAGCTGGGGAAGGGGCAACATTCCCTTAGATCTGCCTGATATTAGGGATCAGGGCCTATCCTGCCCCTGACCTGGCCCAACTCTGGGGTACCTGTGTTACTTCCTCTAACAAGGAAATGATGCCTCCAGTAGGAGACTCTGGGGATTGGCCAAATCTAGAGTCCCAAGTCCCAGGAAGGAGCAGCATGAATCTGCACAAATGGACCCCTCCCAATTCTATTACCATTTTCTTCCCTAAGCCCTCACCTGCTTGCCCACTTACCAGCAACCCCTCATAGCCAACTTTGCAAAATAGTTTCACACCCACTCTCCTTCCTGATCCCCAAGGCAGCACAGCTGGGATCATGCCCCTTTTGTGCAGCTGGGAAGTGAACTCTCAGAGATGGTGGTTTGCCCTGCCTGAGGTCAGGAGGCTATGCAATGGCACAGGGTATTAGAAGCACTCATGCCCAGGGCCAGTGTCGGTTCTTAGCTTGGTGCTACTCACCCTGCCCCCCTCCTGTCTGTCTGGGTCTCATGGCAGCCTTTGGGCTAGACTGAAATAACCATCGCTGGGGGCAGCCCAAAGTTGCTGGTAGGGCTCAGCCTTTGGGGTCAGAGCAGGGGTGGGCAAACTTTTTGACTGGAGGGCCACAATGGGTTCTTAAACTGGACCGGAGGGCCGGAACAAAAGCATGGATGGAGTGTTTGTGTGAACTGATATAAATTCAAAGTAAGCATCATTACATAAAAGGGTACGGTCTTTTTTTTTTTTTTTTTTAGTTTTATTCATTTCAAATGGGCCGGATCTGGCCCGCGGGCGTAGTTTGCCCACGGCTGGGTCAGAGCTTCCCGAGGGTGGAGTGTGGGGGTGGGTTGAAGAGGGCCTGACCCCTAGGCTGAGGTCTGGGCCTGGACAAGTTCTTCCCGCAACCATGGGGAAGTGGAAGGGGAGTTCAGGATTATTCTGTGGGGTTACTACCCCTGTCCTTTCTGGCTGGGATTTCCCCCATTGAGCAGATGTTGACCCCTCTCTTCCTGGCAGGGGACACCATCGCTAGTGTCAACGGCCTGAATGTGGAAGGTATCCGTCATCGAGAGATTGTTGACATCATTAAGGCATCTGGCAACGTGCTCAGGTATGTCCAGGTGCCAGGGTCCCCGTGAGTCCTGAGCTCAGCCTGTCTTGGTGTTTCCGCACCCCGGGCGCTCACTCGGCCTTGGGTTCCCCAACCTCCTCAGGCTGGAAACTCTGTATGGAACTTCGATCCGGAAGGCGGAACTGGAGGCTCGCCTGCAGTACCTGAAGGTAAAGCAGCCCAGATCATGTCCAGCTCCCACCGTCCTCTTCCCAGGCCGCTGCCCCTGCAGGCCCCGCTCTTTTTCGGGGATCATTTATCTAAACCTCCGTTTAACCGCAAGGTTTCCTCTGTGCACTCCCCGATCGCTCAGTCTGTACCCCGCTCCGGCTAGTTTCTGGCTGGCTCCTGACAGGGAGGTGATGGTGTGTCTTGCAGCAAACCCTGTATGAGAAGTGGGGAGAATACAGGTCCCTCATGGTGCAGGAGCAGCGGCTGGTGCATGGTGAGTACACTGCGCTGTGGAGGGCAGTCTGTGATACCCTCACTCTCGGCCAGGCTTCCCCCTCAGAACTGGTCCGTGGGTTACCTCCCCCTCCAAAGTGAAGAAAGGTTTGTTGAGCTACTCCTTTGGGTACAGTTCCGCCCGGGGCTGATGCACACACATTGCTGGTTTATTCCCAGTAGTCCTCTGAAGGTAAGTACAGTGGGGCCTTGACTTACGAGTGTCCCGACTAACGAGTTTTTTGAGATACCAGCTGTCTCTCGGCCAATTTTTTGCATTGAGTTGATAGAGTAATTTGAGTTAATGAGCTCCTTAACAAGCTCGGTCTCGGAACGAATTAAACTCGTAAGTCAAGGCCCCACTGTATTAGTCTCTCCATTTTACAGATGGGAACACCCAGGCTGGAAGAGCCGGTTTTAGAATCTCTTCCGTGGCTCATGTGCTACATAAGTGGTCCGCATAAGGATTTGAGTGTATCATTCATTTTACAGACAGGGACGGGGCTGGGGTTGGGACTTGCCCAGGGCCACATAGATGGTTAATAGGAAGTTGCTGTGCCCTCTGACGGCCCTCCCTCCTGTCTTTGGCCCTGGCAGGCCTCGTGGTGAAGGACCCCAGCATCTATGACACGTTGGAGTCGGTGCGCTCGTGCCTGTACGGGGCTGGCCTGCTCCCCGGCTCGCTGCCCTTCGGACCCCTGCTGGCCGCGCCCGGGGCCCCCCGCGGGGGCTCGCGGCAGGCGGGGGGCGACCCCGAGGACGCCGTCTACCACACCTGCTTCTTCGAGGGCGCCGAGCCGCCCGCGCCGCCGCCCCCGCCGCCGCCCCCCGCCCGCGCGCCGGCGCTGGGCCCGGCCGAGTCGCTGGCCCCGGGGCTGCGGGCGGGGCTGAGCCGCAGCGCCAGCGTGCGGTGCCCGGGCCCCGGGGGCGGCGGCGGCGGGGGCGCGCCCGGCTCGCTCTGGACTGAGGCCCGCGAGCAGGCCCTGTGCGGGCCCGGCCTGCGCAAAGCCAAGTACCGCAGCTTCCGCCGGCGGCTGCTCAAGTTCATCCCCGGACTGAACCGCTCCCTGGAGGAGGAGGAGAGCCAGCTGTAGGCGGGGCGGGCGGGAGGTATTTATTTATTTATTCGTTCCAGCCGGTGCAGAAAGCCAGGGGGCGCGGGCCAGGGAGGCTGGCACCCGGCCGCGGGGGGACCCCAGGAGCCCAGAGCAGCGGGAGAGGGTCCTGGCCAGCAGCTGGGTGGCCGGCTGGACTCTGCCCAGCGCTGAACCCCGGCCCCAGACGCCTTTCCTGCTCCCTTAACCACCGTGGGAGCTGGCGCAGGGAGAGCCAGCCGGGCTCGGGGCGGGGAGGTGTTCGGGGGCCATCCTACATCTGGTCAGCAGTGCCTTGTGGGGTGTCCAGGAAAACTCCTCCCGGAGGAGGACCCTGTCCCACGAAGCCTCTCCTCAGCTTTACTCGCCCCCTGGGCCTTGCTTGGGGAGAAATGGCCTATGGCCTGTAGTCCCCCCACCTTCCATACGCACAGTTCCAGCTAACGGTCCCCTCGCCCAGAGGCCTGCAACTAAGCTGGGTTCTCTGCCCCTTGGGGGACAGAAATGGGCATGTCCAGGTGGGGTGAGGGCAGGACCGGCTGTCCCACCATTTTGCATTTTGTTGCTTCTGAACCACAAACTGTATAAAATGGACGGTTTTTGCATCTGTGTCCGCGTGGTGACTGCCCGACGGAGGGATTGGGCTCAGGCGAGCGCTGACTCCACCATGCACCCACCCCCCAACACACACATGTGTACGCACAGACGCTGTACTTGACACCTTGTTTACTTGGAGCCTGCAGCCAGGGGAATAGTCGGGGGATTTTTGACGGACATGTATGGGCCTGAACCGGAGGCCCACGCCCTCTGCAGAACTTAAGCCTCTTGTTTCAATACATTTTGAGTCTCCCTCCCCAAATACCCACAACAGGTGTCGGCCAAGTCTCCTCTGCAATCCTTCGCTATCCTTGCCTAGATGACTGTGCTGGGCACCCTCTCTTCCCAGGGCCTGGGGCCTCCTGCAGAGGAGACCTTAGCCATCGTCCAGTCATGGATCTCCTCCGTGGGTTTCCAGTGTCCCCAAAGTACGATTTCTAGCTCTAGGCTTGGATTTCTGATCCCTGCCTGGCTTGTCTCCCCCTCTGGGTCCCTGCTCTGGCCACCTTGTTTTGCCTGGTACACAGCAGATCCCTCCCCTTGGGGGGTCTCTGCACTTGCCCCTCTCAGAGCTGGCCCCTTCGGCCGTCAACTCTGCCTCCCAAAGGTCTTGCCGCCGGGTCTGAAATACAGTCACACCCCTCGACGTGAAGGAGTCCTGTTTTATTTCCATCATATTACCCATCACCACCTGAAATTGTCTGGATTTTTATGGGCTTTGTGTTTTGCCTGGCCTCCCTCCTTCCTGTACCACTGCCCTTGCCTCCTGAACGGCCTCCCTCCTCCCTTTCTTATCCCTGGACCATCCCTTCACACAGCAAGCTTTCCAAAAAGGAAATCAGATCATAACCCTTCTCGGCTTAAAACTCATTATGGCTTCCCCTGGAATAAAAGAATAAGATCTAAACTGTTTTCCATAACACGTCCCTCTGGGCAGACAAATTATAAAAAGGCCTCCCTCCCCCTGGGTTGACAGCAGCCACACTGGCCCAGCCACTTCACATCGCGAGCCCTATGCTGTGTGCAACCTGCACGAAGCCCTCCAGGATCTGGCCCCTGCCTCTTTCTTCAAACTCAAACTGTTTCTCCTTCCACATCACTTATATTTAAGCCACTCTGCTCTTTCTAGTCCTGTTCCTCAAATATACCAGCTTCTTTCCTGCCTCTGGCCTCTGTCCCATGCTGTTCTGTCTGCCTGGAATTCTCTTCCTTCCAAGGCTGATTCCTCCATCCTCAGCTCTCAGCTTAAACATTACCTCCTCAGAGAGGGTTCCCTGACCAGAAGTAGTTCCCTGTCCCCATTATTCTTTATTTTGAGCCCCCCCCCCCTCCATTTTCTTTATAGCATTTACTACCAATTGGTAATTTTTAAAAAATAGGTTTTTATTGATTTTAGAGAAAGGAAGGGAGGAGAGAGAAACATCAATTGGCTGCCTCAGATACACACACCCCTACAGGGGGGATTGAACCCACAACCTGGGTATGTGTCTGACCAGGAATCGAACCAGTGAGCCTTCGGTGCACAGGACGAAGCTCAACCTACTGAGCCACATTGGCCAGGACTACCAATTGGTAATTTTACTGACTCCTTTTGCATCTGCCTTTTGCCTGCCTAAGGCAGGAAACTCTGCCTTGTTTACCTTGTACCTCCAGGGCCTAACACAGCCTGGCACACAGTAGGTGATCAACAAATGGGAATGCCTCCTTGGGGCCAGCCCTGTATAGAGTTGACCACTGCCTCCCGCCTCTCAGCCCTGGGTGGGGGAGGAGCCCGCCCCTGCTCCGCCTGTAGTTGGCATCTGTGGGCCCCTTTCACACAATCCCTTGGGGGCTGGGTGTCAGCTCCAGACAAGGCACCTGCACCTGGTGGCCCTGCCCTCCCTGGTCTAAGGGAGGGGGGACATTTGATTAAGAAAATGGAGCTTCCCCAGCTCCCTGTTGGAACAGCTGCTCTGCTGTGGTGACAAACAGAGGCTCCCAGGGGCTCAGGTCTAGGGGAGGGGCCCTCTCACCTTTGTTTCCAGACCCTGGGCTGCCAGGAGACCATTTGCCTGGGCACAGCTGCCACCTTACTGGGGGCGGGGACTACACAGCCTCCCTGGTGTTCTCCTCCCAGAATAGATGCCCAGCCACTTTCCTACCCGCTGGTTCTTCCCCTCTCCATGCAGCTTGTCTTGGGGGTGATGTGGGGACTCCTTGCCCAGGCTGACGGGGGCTCCTGACTAGCCCTGTGTACCCAGAGGAGGGGGAGAAGGTGCCCAGGGCGGGGCTGGATCCCACCTCTCAGCTGATGGGATGACGGCACCAGCACAGCAGCCTCCTGCCGTGTAGGTGGGTGACAGGGAGTGACTAATGTGTGAGCTGCGATGCTAAAAATTAACCCAGGAATGGTGTTGCGGGGAGGGATGGGCGTGGGTGGGAAAGGAGCAGGGACTCAGTACCCTGTGGTCGGTATCCCCTGCCCTGCCTCGCCTCCTTCACCTCCTACCACCCTTCTGGTCCTCTCAAAGCCTCAGAGGACTCTAGGGGAGCCCTTCCCCATCAAGGCCAAAGGGAGCCCCAATAATTCCAGCGAGGAGGAGGAGGGTGGGCACCACTCCAGGTCTCGGGCATGGTAGAGTGAGGACACAGGCCTGCAGACGGAGCTCTGGTCTAGGTCCCCACGCAGCACTGCATGGGCCCCATCGCCTCAGCATGGTGGCTGCCATGCATGCCCCGAGTCCCCTGGCTCCTCCCCCTCTGCCGGGGCAGTCAGCTGATCAGAAGCAGCAGTGCACACAGACAAGGCAGTTCCCATCAGCAGGTGGGCGGCGGGGGGGGGGGGGGGGGGGGGAGGGTAACAGTGGGAGTGGAGCCGGACCTTAAGGAAAGAACGGCGAGTGTCTCCCCAGCACCTCTGTGGACCCAGCACTGTACCAAGCACTTCCACATCCATCACCCCACTCAGCCTCACAGCACAGCTGAGCCAGGTACCAGGGCCCCGTTTTACAGGTGAAGACACAGAATTAGAGAGGTTAAGGGAGCTCAGCCGGTGCCTGGCAGAGCTGCATCTACTCATACCTGTTTGTCTCTAGACCAGTGGTTCTCAACCTTGGCTGCACATTAGAATCACCTGGGAATCTTTTTAAAATCCCGATTTCTGGGCCTCATCCTCCGGAAATTCTGTTTCTTTGTTACTAATGTTGTGGCCCCATCCCTAACAAAGAAACAGAATTTCCAGAGGATGGGGCCCAGGAATCAGGATTTAAAAAGATTCCCAGGTGATTCTAATGTGCAGCCAAGGTTGAGAACCACTGGTCTAGATCCTGGATTGGGGAGGAGAAGCCTTCTTGGAGCGGGTGTGAGGACAGGGTCAGAGTGGGAAAGGACTGTTTAGAGGAGCTTCATCTTTAACGTTGTGGGACTCCCTTTTGGGGGGAAGGTGGGAGTGTGGAGTGTATATAAAAGGTGGGCCCTGGAGGAGCAGGGTCCGAGATGTGCCAGATAACAAAAGGAGGAGATCGGGCCCAGAGGGATCAAGGTCCCACAGATGTGGGTGCTATGCTGGGGTGAGCTGAGAACATTCCCATCAAAGGCGGGAGCTCTTGGGAAGGGGTTCTAGGGGCCACAAAAGGGGCTGGGCTTGGCCAAGAGATTTGTTGGCCCACATAAGAAGACCTGTCAGGGGCGACCTATAGACAAAACCGGGGAACTTGAGCTGGATGGCGGCGGGAGGAGAAGAGGTGAGACAGCGGTCGGCACTTTCTGCTCACCAGTCAGTCACTAGTGAAGTTGGGGAACTGAGAGGCTGTGGGACTCCCCAAGGGTCAAGAGAAACGTCAGGCTGTGTCGTTGGCAGGCCGCCTGGTCCTGCACTGACGGGCGGATGGGATGACCTAACGGAGGGAGTGATGGGCTACGAGAAGTGAGAGGGAAAGGGACTCGGGGCTGCGAGAGGGCGGGGGACCCAGGAGGCTTTCTCAGTAGAAGAAAATAGCCAGGAACTGAGACAGACGCTGGTCAGGAGAGCAGGTGGTCTGACCCCTGGTGGTGACCTCAGAACACTGCACCTCCCTCAGCTCTGACCTCACAGACCCGAGTCCAGCAGAAGCAGGGAGTTAGTTGGAAGAGCCCACCTCTTCTGCCTTCCTTAGCCCTGCCCCACACGCAGAAAGTGGAGCCTCCCCTGAACCCAGCTCTCTGACACCTGGCCGTGCTGGCATCGAGTGGGCACACACTTCCTGAGGCAGTTATGTCTGAATGAACTGAGTTCAGAACTTCCGTTGTCAAACTTAATTCATTTCAGCCTTCTCCGTGTGGGACCCCCTATGGCCTGAAGTCTCTCGGACCAGGGCACGGGGCGAGGGAGGAAGCATACTTGCAAAACTGCAAGCAAGAATTTTTTCTGTAAGGGAGGCCCCCCTCCCGCCCCCCACACCTCAGTGAATTTTCTATTCTTGGAGTTTAGCCTTTCAGTAGAGAACAAATCTATGTCAAAAGTAAAAATTATGCAAATCCTGCCCCTCTGGGCCTCTTTCCCTGCTGCTACCCTACAGAGTCACTTAACAGCTCCCCTCGCAGCTGGCCAGGTCCATTCAGCAACCTCCCCTAACCCCCAGAGTGACAGGCAACCCACGTCCCACTTGCAGCTCTTGGAGGGCCTGGCTCAAACCCTACTATTTCTGGGGAAGCGGGTCTCTGGTTAAGTGAATGCAAGACGTGTGATTACCAACTATAGACATTGAACAGTAGGTGGGGCCCATCCCTCCCCTTAAGATTGATTCGGGAATTCGGAGGTGGGTTGGAGCACTGGTATTTTTAAAAACACCCCAGGCCTGGCCAGTGTGGTTCAGTTAGTTGGAATGTGGTCCCATGCACTGAAAGGTTGCAGGTTCAATTCCCAGTCAGGGCACATACCCAGGTTGTGGGTTCGATCTCTGGTCTGGGTGCGTATGGGAGGCAACCAATCAATGTTTTTCTCTCTTTCTCTCTCCCTTCTTCTCTCTCTAAAATCAAATAAACATAAAAATA